CACTTTAAACTCTACCATAAAGTGTGCACCCAACCCAAAGAACCAAATCCGTAAACTCCAAATCCCAGATCCTATGGCTCCTCAGCTGAATATATGATCTTGCTTCTCACCCTCCTCAAGATGCACCACTAGTTACGGATCCTCGATCAGCCCTTCGGCAAGCTGCTTCCAGAGAAGCTTCCGGTGACATTAGTTTGTTGGATTTCGTAGTGTCTTGCAGGAGTTGCCAGGGTCTGTAGTCTCAGTAGCTTCATGGTGTGTACAATGTTTCAAAGCCGAAAATCAAGATTCCGAACAACTTACTGGAAAACCCAAATCGAAACCGCCGAAACCTTGGCCTATACCCCTGACGTTTGGTTTCGCAAGTTCATCGGCACCGGAAACTTGCGAACGATGCTTAAACAATGTGCCATGCACGGAGCTGGACAGCAGGCTCCGGCTGTGGGATTCAAGGGTTTTAAGCTCTGACTCAGCTTTTGTAAATATTTCGGGTGGGAACCATATTCTTGTTATAGTACTCTGCTAGCAACCCTTATAGTACAGGTACCCCTATAGCAACCATAGCAGTAGCTTAATCTTGCAGCTGGTCGTCTAAGCCTTATGCTCAGATTCAGGTTCCGAAAGTTGCACCTTTCGAAAACGTAATACTCTTTGTTGGCTACCTTAGTTTCTTATTGTAGGATCCTATCCATAGACCAGGTTATCAAACAAATCCTGCATTCTAGGGTCTAGGTTGGCCTCAGAAATTGGGAACATATACACTTCAAAACTCATGCCGGAACGAGGTGAAAGGAACTCTGCTGTTGAGGATACCAAGGTTTAAAGGTTTTGGTTCTCTAGGATACCCAGTAACCTAAGAATAAAAATAGGCCTCTCTTTTTGGTATAGGGTAACTTTATAAGGAACCTAGGACTACAAAAAAGGAATAAGGGTACTACTGGGCATCCTAGCCCCTAATTTTCGTAAACCCTAAACCCTTTATAGAACCCTTATAGATCCCTTTAAGGAACCCTTATAGATCCCTAAGGGTACTACTGGGCATCCTAGTCCTCTGCTCAAGTGCAGCCACAGGCAGAGGACAAAGAGGATCCTATCCTAAATTCGGGTTTGGGTTCATCCAGAGACTCCAAGATCCCTTAATTAAGGAATATACCTTAAACTATAGTAGGATCCCTAATATGATTTAAGGAATATTCCCTAATTAAGGGATATTGGAGTCTTTGGTCACCTTTCTCTGTACTGAGTGAAACTATGATGTTGCCTATATAGAACTCCTAAACCCTAAGCCTAAGATCCGGGGTTTTGGGCCCGGGGCCCCTAAACCCTAACCGTCATCGGGCACCTTAAGACCTAAACCCTAAGCCCTATTATAGGGCTTAGGGTTTAGGGTTTAGGGTTTAGGGCTTAGGGTTTAGGGTTTAGGGTTTAGGGTTTAGGGTTTATGGTCCTAAACTAAGGACATGTCTAGACCCCAAACCAAAGGCTCAGGTCCGACTCTCCCAGTAGCCTGCGGACCAGCTGTGCAATGGGTGTTCCGCCTCTTGTAGCGCGGGAGCGAGGTACATTTGACCCATGCAGTTTTGTTTGATGGCTGTGCCGACTGTCTTCGACTGGAAGTCCCGTGAGGACAGGAAGAAATCCATGGAAACTAACTAAAAAGCCTCCATTGTAGTTCGTTTTGGGGGTTTCCTAATAGCATCCTTCATATATACTTGGTTAAACCAAAAAAAGGAACTGCAATGGAGATTATAGGTAAGCCACAAACAAGCCCTAGCAACGCTTCCCGCGACCCAACGTGACTTCCGGAGGCCCGCCCCGAGAGGTGGACATGGTATCCTGAAACATATGATCTCATATCGGGGCCTTAATAGTTAGAATAGGGTTTCGGGGCCCATTATACTATACTTGTGATAAGGAACCCCCAAAATAGTATAGGTAATTATTCAGGCCCCCATATTATTGCGCACCCCCTGGCGGCATTTACGACAGATGGGACCCGTCAACCAGCTGGGAACAAAACGAAACGACAAGCCCATTTCCGAACAATGCTCCGAAGCGAAAGCCCCACTCCTGCACACGTGACCAGAATCTGCACTTCCAGCATTTCCCAAACTCTGAAGAAACTTGAATCTAATATACTAAACCCTATACACCTTAAACCCTAAATCAGTGAACTCTGAACCGTTTCTTTCAAGACAGCGTGGCAGACGGCTTGGCCACTCGGGCATTTTGTAGGCCCGGATCGATTCTGAAGCGACAACAGGCAGCTGTTTGTGTGAGCAAGGGCTTGGTGTCTCAACTTTAGGTTGAGGGGTTTAGGGTTTAGGTGCTAGGGTTTAGAGGGCTTGGGGTCTCTCCATAAGTTTATGGAACTCGAGGTGCATTTATGGCCGGCTGTTTAGCTGATGATGCTGAGGCAGCTGCCTTCAATCACTGCAACCCTTGAACCCTGTCAGCTCAAGCTCTACCTATAGTCTTCATTGTAGTTCCTTTTGGGGTTGCCTTATAGGATCCTTATAAATATACTTGATTGGTTAAACCAAGAAAAGAATTACAATGGAGATTATAGGTAAACTCTACACCCTATAAACCCTAGGCCCTCGACCTCTCATCCGACGGCAACTTAGGATGCTAGCTTCAGTCAATACGTTCAGCAGAAGCCTGGGATCGCAACATTGTAAAACTTGGCGTGCAACTTACGTCATAATGTGAACAAATGTCGAAAACATGAAGACGAATCAATCTGACACAACTAGCTTGCTTATGAGATTTACTAGCTTAGCTATCGATGGACAACTTCCTGCGACAGCGGCGGCCGCTCGTGGCTGTCTGTCACCGGAGGGAAAGGCCGCTGCATCTCGTTTACCTCACCAGCATGTTGGAGCATGGTTCGTTGCGTTTAGTTTACCCCTAAACCCTAAACATAAACCCTAAACTCAAGGCCTGGGCCGCCCACCTGCGTGGGTGAGCGGCGCTGAAGCCCCTCGACATCGACACAATACGCTCGCCCGCCTCTCCACAGTGCCCTGCCCTGCCCTGCCCTGCTGCCCTGCCCTGCTCGATAAGTTTGGGTGGCTTTGCCGCCTTAAACGGCGTGGCGTGGGAAAGACAGAAGGAAAAAGCGTTCTGTAGACAGGCTTTCGCATCTCTTCGCCTATGTACGAAGCACTCGACACAACCTTGCCGCAAGATATTATCGCCTACGTGAGCCTTAAACCCTAAACCCTAAACCCTAACCTGCCTAACTTGGCCTAAACTTCACTGAACCTTGCACGCCTCGACCCGGTGTAGTCTGTTTAGTCAGCTCAACCCCATGTCGCGACGGCTGACAGAACGTACCAGGACCTCCTTGTACCCTCAAATAGGGCTATGTGGTCCCAAATGGTGGGTACTTAGGGTCTAAAGACGGGTGGATGGAGGGTCTAGGTAACTTCATTCCCGCGTCCTAGAATGTCAAAACCAAGCCCAGACCTCTGACCCTCTGACGGATTGTTGAGTGCGATGCTTCCTGACAAGGTTGTGGTGGTTCTACAAGTCATTAACATCATTTTAGTATAAGGTAGCCTAAATGGTTACCACCCCTACCGCTCAGCACACAGGACTCGAATGCCAAATGCACGTCTTAGGGAAAGTAAGGATGGTCGGTGTGATTGTCGGCGCATTACTTAGGGTGTCATCAATCAGGGTTTACAAAGTTGCTACTACTGCACTATGACCGTACTACAATCACTATCGTACTACTACTGAAGACCCTATCTCCCTCTACGGTCCCCGAAGCTGATTTCGGGGTTTCGTGGAAGGACGCTACTCAGGCCGCCGGGAAGCGGGGGAAATGGCTGCTGGGGTGAACCGGCGGGGGAACAAAGAACAGCACCACAGTAACCCCAAACGTGCCAACATTGTAGGGCCTGCTTGGAGGATCACGAGACTTAGTAAGTGAGGTTATAAGTACCTTAATTGGGGTTATAAGTAGCTATAAGTAGAGTTACCCTATAAGTATACCCTAGGTACTAAGTCCCACCATACCTTTAAGTATTGTATCCCGTGCACTGTACCCGTAGCCTCCCTCTCAATTCTTAGTCTTAACCCGATGCCACTGCATAGTTGAAATCCGAAGGTCCCCAGAGGTCCCAAACCGCCGAGGCGATTTAGAGTGCGCAGGGTCTATTATTAGGGTTTAGGGTTTAGGGTTTAGGGTTATTAATCACAGGGCTTGGGATTCAGGATCTATGAGGGGGAAGTAGAGTGACAAATTACAAGGGGCGAGGGCTTGCGGTTTACACGGTGATTAAAGCTTCATGGTGTGCGCTTATCAGAATTCGAAGTCTTACCCAGAGCCTCCAAAACCCCTGAATTAAGAAATATGCCTTACATTATATTCAGGATCCCATTATGATTTAAGGTATATTCCTTAATTAAGGGGTTTTGGGTAAGTCCCAGTAGAGGGTTCGAGGTTTCGGCCACGGGGGGGTTAAGGGCCTATCACGGTTATGGGTTTAGGGCTTTTCCTTTGATCAAACCATCCGCAATATTCACCCTAAGTAAGCCCCCGAATGTAACATCGGGCGCGTTGTTTGGCAAACACGTTTCGGGTAGTTTTTGGATCCCACAGTGCTGAAACCATCCTTGACATCGTGAACCTATACAAGTATATACAGCCCTGCCTAATATAGGGGCCTTAATGATTAGAATAGGGTTTGGGGGCCATTATACTTAACTTACAATGAAGAACCCCAAATAGCATTGGCCGCCAATGTAATTTTTTCAAGGCCGCTATAGTAAGGCGCCCCACCTATTCCGAACATCCAACTCCGCAAGCCCCTCAACTCCAAATCCGCCCCAAGCCCCATGAAGCCCCGTTACCTTAACCTACCAAATCCCATGCCATAATTTTTTGTAGCATCCCGATAAATCTTAGATCATCGGAGTTTTTCGAATAAGAACCTAAGGAATGGGTTTTGGTAGGTGGAGGTAAGATTTGTGGCCTTGCTCCCCACCGTCTACGCTTTGGCACCGGAGGGGGGCGGCCTGGGTTTTCAGGGCCCGCCGAGTTTCGGCTCGATTGGCTCTGCAAGCTTCGTGGAACGTAGGGTAACTATGGGGTGGTTCCGTCCTTAGGGTTTTAGCTTTTCGGGGCGTTGGGTTCAGGTGAGCGTACTGAAGCTAGACCGACGAAAAGCCTGTGCGTATGCCACTAACCAGTGACCTACAGCGGCTTACTGGACATTAGATATAACTTGATGAGCTTCTGTCCGAAGCTGTGACCTACATCAGACACCCAAGCTCGCAGCCAAACTAAACCCCAAAACCTAAAGCAAAACCCCCAATACCCCCAAAACCCTAGAACCCTGAACCAGAAACTCCAAAGCCCTAAACTGGCCTCATGAGACCGGACTCCAAAATCGGAGTGAAGAGCTTTGGATTCAGGGCAGGCGGCAGTCTTCAAGGAAGAATCGAGTTTCGCGGGCTTACTCTTGCTCATTCGAAAAGACCCTTAACCCTGAGCTCCGAAACGTCCCACATCCCTGCTTCTTCAGGTAATCTCGAGGTCGCAATAGACAGCGATGTTATCCTCCGGTAGTATGTAAGTATACGAATTCCAGGGCCCAAGTACCCAATCATCATATACTCCCCCAAATCCTAACCTACGTAACTACTATCCTAAAGCCAAGCACCTAATTTTTAAGGCCCATATAATGGAACCCTTATAATACCCCCTTTAAAGGAACCTTATAGAACTCTTGAAACTTGAAAGGAACCCTAATTATTGGGACTTAATTTTCGGGTCCGTAGGACCCGGCCCTTGTCCGATTCTAATGTTACAAAGACCCCGGGGAGTATTTAAGAAGTAGATCCCCTAATCTGAGACACTATACTACCTATCCCTAAGGCTCTAAGGACTCATATTTTAAGGCTTTTGGGGCCTAAAGTCTAAAGACCATATTATATAAGGCTTTTGGGCCATTTTGAGCCTTAGGGTATACTACTATATGGAGGGTGCGTGATGCCAAACCCCCTTGAGAGATCTTGGACCCAGAGGTAGGGTGACGATGAAAAGTGTCTGCCCATATTGCAAGTTTGGGAACGTCATGCCAGGTCACCTCAGGGCAACAACCTCCAAAATGTCAAAATCTATAACCGCCCTTCTTGACTCATAGTGCCAAAAGCCATGACGACCCATAAACCTTGCAAAGCCCACAGCCTAAGCTTCAGTTCCTAAACGCAGTCTTTGCTTAGGATCTCGAGTTGTGCAGTGAAGCTTCCAAACTTAGGGTTTAGGGTTGGAGTGAAAACGCCCAAATCCCAAACCCTAAAGTATCTGGGAAAATCAGCGGTGCGAGCTCCTAATTCCTGCAGCCCTGAAGCTTGAAATCCTGCAAGCTCCAACGTCTGCCCGGAATATGAACTTGGGCTAAGGGTTAGGACGGCGAAGGGATGAATATTCACGGATTACTTGGGGGTTCATGGGACTTCGTAACTAAGGTTATAATTAGTGCAACTCGACTTATATAACTACTTATAACCCCAATTAAAGTACTTATAACACCACTTACTAAGTCCCATGATCGCTCCTCCGAGTAGAGTCTAGGCTTTTGGGTTTAGAGCTGAGGATGAACTAAGATACCCAGTAACCTAAGAATAAAAAGGCCTCTCTTTTTGGTATCGGGTAACTTTATAAGGAACCTAGGACTACAAAAAAGGAATAAGGGTACTACTGGGCATCCTAGTGAACGCAAGAAGCCGATCTGAGACAAGGATCGCCGAGGGCGCCGGCCGCGCAATTCGCTTTGCCAACGGGGAGGCCTCTCGCGATGCTGGGTTTACCTAGAGAGCCCAATACCCCTTAATTAAGGAATATGGCTTAAATTATATAGGACTTCATATTATGATTTAAGCTATATTCCTTAATTAAGGGGTATTGGGCTCTCTGGGTACCTACAGTCTCCATTGTAGTTCCTTTTTGGGGCTACGTCAAAGGATCCTTGATACATAATTGGTTCAACCAAAACAAGGAACTACAATGGAGATTATAGGTAGGGTTCAGGGTTTAGCGTTTACGGTGCGATCAGAGCGGTGTAGGGAGTGGCATAATGTTCGGGAGGAAGGTGAGGGGCGGGAGGTGAGGGGAGGGGGAGGAAGAGCAAGAGTTTAAGATACATTGACATTTCCATGCTATTTCACTGCGTCATGTCATAAACTATACTGCGGGAACATTGCCCGAGCAGACATGAATGACAACGACTGCAGGAAGTGCAAAAAAATGCGAGGCAAAGGCACACATGAATAAGAAACTTAGGGTTTACGGGGTTTAAGGTGTAGGCACTCGTTTCAAGAGCAACTCTTGACCAACAAACGAATCGACCCGAAACCAACTACCTTAAGCAACAGCGAAGAAGATGCCGTTGCACTACACCTGCAGCAACCAAGATGTTTAGGTCACTCCTCCATGGAATGTGCCCGGTCCTGAAGCCCATGAATCAAGTAAATAGTCAACTGGTCTGCACTTTCGTTTTAAATTACTATAGGAGCCTTACTATATTTACAACACGGAAACAACCCAAAAAAGTATCGGTAACTGTTAAGGCCTCTATATTAGTCCCTATCAGGTAGGGGCGACAAGCAACAGGCGCGGACATTTTGCTGGCCGCTGAAGAGCTAATTTAGGATTTGTGGGGCCATCTATAGAGGGCAGCACTTCGTCAAAGCAGGGTTCAGGGTTTAGGCTTTAGGGTTTATACTATACATCCAAGGACTCGAGTCATTGCTTCGAACCCTGATGCTGCATGCGGCGCCCATTTACCAATTGCATGAACATCGCGAGCCAACTGATGCGATGGAATTACACATAGGATAATCTTTCCAGTAAGATGCAAAGATGGTACAAACAAGACTCCCAAAGGCTTGAACAATGGCCCACCTGAAACTCAAGTACATGGAGCATGCTAGACAAATCTACTGGATGGTCTATCAGAGGTCTTTCACTGTGTTTCAGCACCCTGGACGAACTTCTTGTGCCTAGGGGGTCTAGCTGCCAAGCCCTGAACAATCAATGTAGTCCTGTCTGTGCTTCACAAACAAGCCCACCTACGGCTGATGATGTAAATCCTGCGTTACCCATAACAAGGAATATACCATAATTCCAATGGTTTAGGGTCTTGGGTCTTTAATAGGTATTGCAGAATTTAAATCATCAACAGTATGTCACGAATACCTTGGCTGTGACAGCCACTACGGAAGATCTCAGAGTGCGCCGAACTAACAGCCACAGACTCAAACCTTTGGCTCCAGAGGTGTTTCCAGAGCCTTAAAGTACTCCCTATATAGGTACATTGGGCCCAAAGTAGATACTATTTCGGTACAGGCCCTCAGGATAAGCAAGACCGCCGACTGAAAGAGCCTTTAGCGATGCACTGCTCGTAGCATCTGGAATCACCTTCCGATCAACAGTAGAAGCCAGAAAGTTGGAATATCACTATCGTAACCCCTTTAAGGTAAATTATAGGGGATCCTACCATTAATCCATACTCCAACTTTCTGGAGTTCCCTGTATCCATTCCGGGCTGAGGAGTTTCGGATCCCTGGTGCACCCAAAATGCCGAAACTAGGTACTCCGGGTTTTGGGAGTCATGGGCACGATTGCAGGCAGCTGGGCTTTCCTTGGATAAACCTTCAGGCGAGCAAAAGAACATCTTCACTTCTCTTGTCCTTTCCGCATGTGCCGAATTCTCACGTGTCGTGAAGAAGAGGAACTTACATATTTTCCCGATATAGGAAAAGATAAAAAGCAACTACCCTAAAGCCCTAGGGATCTAAGGACTCATATGTGAAGGCCTTTGGGTCCAAAGACCATACTACGCAAGGCTTTTGGGCTCTTTTGATCCCTAGGGAACCCTCTAAGGCACCGACTTGGGAAACTGAACGGGCTTAACGGTATAGGGTTTAGGGTTTAGGGGTTCCGTGGTTTAGGGGTTTAGGGGTTCAGGGGTTTAGGGGTTTAGGGGTTCAGGGGTTTAGGGTTCAGGGGTTTAGGGGTTTAGGGGTTTAGGGTTTAGGGCTTAGGCTTATAAGAGGGCCTTAATGATTAGAATACGGCTCCTTTAGAGGTTCCTTAAAGGGATCAACCCCAAGGACCACACCTGGTGCCCAAAAACCCCAACCCCAAAAGGCCTCCATAAGACAAACCTCAAAAACAAATCATAATGTAGGGGCCTTAAGGTTTCTTTGTTTAATTAAGGGGTTCCTGTCCTAAAGGGTTACTATAAGGGATCTATAAGGGTTCTATAATATAGGAGCCTCAATAATTAGAATGAGGTTTTGGGGCCCAAAATACTGTAATTAAAATAAGGAACCCCCAAAATAGTATAGGTAGTTATTATGGCCCTATAGTAACCGCAACCCAGACACCCCCAAACCGGCACCCGAAAGCTTGGAAACTCCTTAAAGGCACCCAAGAAACACGAAATGCAACACGAGTCGAGCCGTTGAAGCCCCTCGAAACCCCGCATGAGGCCGAGACCATCCCAGGAGGAGCAGGAAGAATGGGCTCTCCCTGTGTGTGTAGATCAGGTTCGCATGTTTGTTGTTTGCAGCTGCGGGTTTCCACTGCCTTCCCAGGATTTATCCCTAAAGGTCCATGTACTCATGCAGTATATGCTTTGGCATTAAAGTACTCCCTATATAGGTACATTGGGCCCAAAGTATATACTATCTTGGTACATAGACCCTCAGGATGATCGTCTGGGGTGTTGGGGGGGGGGGGGGGGGTTCTTGAGTTTTCTTTTTGCCGGGATGTAGAGCTTCGGGACCCCAGTCTTCAGGGTTTGTCTGCCGTCGTCTTGAATGTAGAAGGCTTCAGGGCTAGTATAAGGCCCTTAATAATTCGAACAGGATTCTTGGGCCCGTTATACTATAATTATAATTTGGAGCCCCCGAAATACGGTTGATGATATAAATCCTACATGACCTTAAGGACCCTAAACTATGGGAATTATGGTATGTTCCTTATTATGGGTAGTCCAGGATTTATATCACCAACACTAGTATGGTAATTATTCAGGCCCCTATATTATTCAGGGTCAGGATTTGCTACGGCCACACGGATTGAGAGTCATAGGGTTAACTAGAGCTATTCAGGTTTTGAGGATTCATCGAGACTTTCGGATTCGGCGGTTGGGCTTATTGCTTTGGGGATCCATCCGTTTCGGGCTTTCGGCTTTGGACTCCGAAGCTTTCGGCATGGGAGTTTAGCGGAGAGCCTGTCAACTGTCCAGTCAGGAAGACATGTCACGCTTAAGGGTTCGGGCTTCTTAGGCATGTGATTTGATTATGATTATACCCTGAACCCTATGCCCTTATAGAATCCCTATAGGCCTATTGATCACTTTAAAGGGACCCTTAAAGGAACCCTTATAAGCAACTACCCGTGTCGATCCCTCTACGGTCGCAAATGCCACGTCAGCACAGCTATGGTCCTTCGAAAGCCGGCCCGGTTCAGACCTAGACTCACAGATTCCATAAACCCTAAACCCTATAGACCCTAAACCCTAAGCCCTAGAAACCCTAAACTCCTAAGCCCTATAAACCTATAAACCCTAAACTATTAAACTCCTATGCCCCAAACCATGAACTCCTAAACTCCTAAGCCCTAAACCCCCCAACCCTGCCAGCATTCGACACACAGAGCGCTTTGGGCACCAAAGAACATGGAAGGCCCAGAGCAGGACATGCGCATACTCAAGGGTCACCCGCTGATGACCCAAACCGCTTCGGACTTTCGTACAGACTCCATAGTAGCCCCAACCCATATAAATCCCAAACCCTAGGCCTTAATAGTTAGAATAGGGTTTTGGGTGCTCCGTACTATAGCAACTATATATATATATATATATATATATACTTATGGTATAATCTACCCTCCCTTTCCTGGTGTATTTTTTTGGATCCTACAAGGTAGGCCCAGCGAGGAACTACAATGGAGCCTATGGGTATTCGAGCACATCATCGAAGCATCACGTGCCATGAACCCCAAACCCATCACACCACCCGTTTGAGGAAGATGCAAAGACGAACGACTGGTAAACCCTGCATGCGAGAACCAACGTCATCGCATGCAGCGGTGACAGTAGCATGGGAATGCTAGCTCTCCTGGAGTCGCAGGGCTCAGTTAGTTGAGACCATCCGAGGTCCAAACAAGACTGTTGTTCGTGCTAGGAGGGCAAGCTCCGCAAATTCTGACACGACTCCTAAGCCCCCAAGCTTAGACGCCAAACTAAGCTTACTCAACATGTGTCGACCTTACACCGGTAACCCGAGACAATAATCGTAGAAACCGAGATTCGAAACTGACACGACATCATGGCACCAACGATCTGGGTGGAAGACCATCCCACCACACGGTATAGGCCGGGGATTCATCGCCATGCCTTTCCGACGTGTCAGGCTTTTGGAAGCAGAAAACACAGCGGGGTGATAGGTGGGTGCTTGTTCTTGCTACACGAATACCTCAACCGCGAACGCCGTGCTGCAAAAATATCCCCTCCCTGCCATCACTCTCCAAACCCTAAGGCTCCAGGCAGCTATATAGTATATGCTTTGGCATTAAAGGGGTTCCTATATATGTACATTACAGCTGTCGAAGTGGTCTCGGGTTACAGGTTCGGGATTTGTAGGGTTTAGGGTAAAGAAGGAACCCTTGTGCCTGAGACGCTTGTCTTGCAGCTTCGGGTTCCTGCAACCCTAAACGTAAACCTACTTACCCAGACCCCCGGGAGGATCCAAAAATGTAGATCCCTTAAGGTTCCTATGAAGTACCCTTAGTTATATAGGGCCGCAAATTAGGGGATCTACTTTCTAGATCCTCCCGGGGGTCTGGGTAATGGTGTACACCCTCAACCCTCAACCCTAAACCTTAACAGTACTTATCCCAAGCTCTAATGCCTGATTCTGGCTGTATGAATCCTAAACCCGCAAAACGCCCAACCCCAGCAGGGAAATCATTACTTCAGAAACCTACACACCAGCATAGCTAAACATCCTGAACCAAAATAAACCGTACCAGTATACATCCCAAAACCTTATCCCCGAACCCCTGCAACACCCTTGATGTAGGGGCCTTAATCAGTAATAGTTAGATTAGAATAGGGTTTGGGGGCCCGTGATGGTATTTATCACAAGGAGCCCCCAGAAAAACATAGTATGGGTAAGCATTTCGGCCCCTAAACTAAACTCCCCATAATACCCCCTATAGTAATCCTTATAGACCCCTTTAAAGGAACTCTTTCAAGGAACCCTAAACTCTAAACCCTATCAGCCCTGAACCCCTAAGACCCCGCTGCCTCCCCTAAACAAACCTGTAAGCTGCCTCCCGGAGGTGTGACTCCCCCAGGCATGCTGTAGCCTGGCTTTTAGAGTTTAGGGCTTAGGGGTTCAAGGGTTTAGGGTTTAGGGTTCAGGGGTTTAGATTTAGGATTTGTGGAGTTTATTGGCTTCGGGCTCTTCCAAAGCTGTGTTCTGCAGGGGGCTTTGGGGCTGGAGGAGTCACAGGTTCAAGTGTTACCTTAACCTAACAAACCCTACCTTTTTGTAGGTTCTTATGAAAAACCCTAGTATATGGAAGAAATTGTAAGAAATTGTAGGGAGCCTGCCTTTTTTCTAGGGTTTTGGTAGGTTAAGGTAGGGCTTTATGGGCTGAAGGGTTGAAGGGCGAGGGTCTTGATTTTTTGCTTTGAGGGTTACGGCGCTGGGGATATAGGGGGCAAGGCCCGAGCCCTGTTTCCATATGAAGTTCATGACCCCGAGCCCCCCAAAAATCAAAACTAACTCCTGCGCCTCTTACAGTCTAACCTGAACCCCCCAAAATTTGGGTATAATGATGTCCCAACACCCATGAAGAGGCTATTATGCTCACATTATTTGGGGGTCCAGGTACAATCTGGAATACAGTAGGCTTCCGGCTCTAGAGAGTCCAGAGAGCTCACTTCGAGCCAGCACCTTCAAGAGCAAACCCTGAAGCCAAAACCGCAAACCTGAAGGTATCTGCACGCACATTGCAAAGAAACCCAAGCAGAATCCCCTCCCCGCCACCCAGAAAAGACAAAGATACACACATACACACATACACACATATGCACAAATCATGCACACCGAAAGCCTTAGTTCAGAAGCCCCGAGCACCCTCTTTCAGAGCCCATGATCTCACCTTGGGGTGCGGGGATCGTCTGCCCAGTGTGGGGATCCTCTGCACCGGATTTTGGGCGTGCGCTGCTTAGGGTTAGGCGTTGAAAGGTTTGGGGCTTGATGGGCTTTAGATTGTTTATTGGAGTTCGTCCTGCTTAGGGTTCTAAGGTTTGTACACTCAGTTTTCAAGGAGGTATTGGGTTTGATTTTGAAGATAAAGATTTCAAGGTTTTGGCTACCTAGCTGCCTCAGGTTTAGGGTTAAGGGATTCAAGTCGAGGATGTGAGCTTGGTGCTGGAACTTTGAGGTCAACATCGACGATCGGAAGCAAGCAAGTTTCGGAAATCTAACACGACCACATCTGAACGCTTTGTTAGCGCGCTTCTTCACCTTAACAGATCGAAGCTCAATCCGAACCAGCGGTGGGTTGTCTGGAGTTTAGGATACTGTCAAATGTTAGCGGATAGCCGTGGGTGAATTGAAGAAGTACTGCTCAGGCTCTGTCTAAGCTTTCCGATCTCTGCCGGGAAACTCATATGGACAGCCGAGACATAACAAAGAAACAACAGCTCTAAGACTCGGACTACACTACTGCAGCCTGTGTCCATTTACTACAGTATCCACCTTGCATCCGATGTCCCCTTATAATCGTTAAAGCCTAATTAAACACTAAACCCTGAAAGAAAAACCTCAACCCACATCCTCTCAATCCCTAAACCCTCAACTCCTTCAGCGTCAGGGCTAACTGCAGAGGCTGCTGCGCCCGCTTATCGACCACCTAGCGCGTGCTTGGAGTCTCTGGAAGGTTTGAGGTTTAGGGATGAAGGGTCCAAACCTAACATGGACACAACTCGTAATCAAGAGGTGTATCAGACATTGGGGGCTTCGGGGAGTTAGGCGATTGCGATATAGAGTATGATTTATATTACTAGTATCCCCATAATAGAACCCAATATATATATATATATATATATATATATACACTCACGAATATTCAAAAGGAGCCCGATCTACACTCACCAAAATGGTAAATTTAACCCTACTTCATATGATTCTTTGTAGAGGGGCCGAGGCTTGCCCATAAGCTTCAGATGCCTGGCTAACTTTTTCATGTGTCGATTCGGATTTAGGTTGTACCTTTAGTCTCCATTGTCGTTCCTTTTTGGGGTTACCTCAATAGGATCCTTAATATATAACTTGTTAACCCAAAAAAGGAACTACAATGGAGACTATAGATAGGTTGTGTCAGTTAAGATCGGAATGCGACACTGACACGGCTGTGACTCGTGAAGTTCGCTCCTGTGAAAGAACCCTTGTTTTAGGACCCTTAATAAAAGGAACCCTTTCAAAGAACCGTATCCTATTTATTATTAGGGCTCCTAAACCCGAAACCCTGCACCCTACCCGTGCTACTGAGGTCCATCCCCTCTCTGAGGCCTCCATGGGAGACAGGAAGCTTTTTGCAGAACATGTCTGCGACCGCACAAATCCAGCTGACTAGTGAACCACTGAAGTAGTGAACCACCGAAGCCTAAACCCTAAACCCTAAACCTCCAAATCCGAACACCCTACGATAAAATCCAACGGTACGGTACCGTGATGAAAACCATCATACGGGCTTCCTTTTACGAGTTTAAGCCTAGACCTCAATGGCCCAGCACTATTATTCTAGATACACTTGGGGTTAATGTAGGGCTTGGGGTCACAACCTCAAGCCACTTGCCAAAGCACGAATAAGCTTTGGCGCTGCAATGACCCCAAACCTTCAGCCCTAAACCCTAAACCCCAAACCTTCAGCCCTAAACCTCGAAGCCTTACACCCGAAGTCCCGAGCAGAAACAGGCCTTGAAACCGAATCTGCAACTTCCCCGGAAACCGAAGCGGAAACAGGGAACTACTAACTACAAATCCGATAATTACCTGGAGTCTCCATTGTAGTTCCTTTTTGGGATTACCTTATAGGATCCTTATTTTATATTTGGTTATACCAAAAAAAGGAACTACAATGGAGACTACAGGTAGTCTTAAGCTCGCTAAGCGCCCGGTTGCTGTTTATGGCTTAGACAGTTTTGGCCCAGACGGCAACACTTGTCAAAAAAACCGTACAAAGCCTATATTATATAGACCCCCCGGAGAGCCCTCACTGTCATGTTGTCCGCGACCTCTTTCCAAAGCTCTCGCTCGTGCCGCACACGATCCAGCTGGCTCTCGATGTGCTGCTGCGAGATCTGCCTCAGGTTGCTGGGTTGTTCATTATAGTCTCCATTGTAGTTCCTTTTTGGGGTTTAACCAGTTGTTTACTAAGGGTCTTATAAGGTACCCCAAAAAGGAACAACAATGGAGACTATAGGTAGAGGGGTTTCATAACTATCCGGGTGGTCGCTTCCGACCTCATGGCGACTTTACAAGGTCTTCGTAACGCGTGGCAGCTTTCATATTCGAAAGTAGGGTCCCCTGCTTTCTGCGTAGATTTAGAGGCTGATAGTTTCTTATACTCTATCAACTATGATCCTCCATTTAGGCTTTTTTCTAGCGATCATCCCAGGACTTTTAAAGGCTTGGCGTGCAATGGAAATCGGTCCGCACGACGTGCCTGAAGAAATACGACTGAAAGTTCGGCAGTGATTGCCGGCTTCTTGGTATTAGACTTTACGCACACTCGCACACCGCAGCCTGACTGGCCTACTAATCATGAGATCCCCCGGAAGAAACCAGAATCTCAAGTCTAGATCAAGCCGAACCGCTGATCGGACCGTCAAATCGGGCCCATGTCCAAAGAAACACTGTAACCAACACCCCCAATTAAAAACGACGTGTGTTAACTTGCTCATGAGATGCCACGCAACGTTGTGCCGTAAGTAAGAGGACTTGCTGTGGTATCCGGCTTGGCATACAACGTAAGACATAGCTTTACGCATCCAAAACATAGGGATGCACATTTGCTTGCAGTGTTTAAGGTAGGAGCTCCATCGCGCCTGTGTCGTAGGTACTTGCGGCTTGCGCCTTAAACTCCAATCTGTCCCGTGAAGTACAGCTACGGCATACGGTCGCAATTCAAAGCCCAGGTGCAGTAGCCGCAGCACAGAGTGATCCGCCTGCCAGCTCCATCAACCCTAAGGTTTCATGCATCCAAAGCACAGTATATGGGGACATGCCTATAGTCTCCATTCGAGTTCCTTTTTTTGGTTTAACCAAATATATAATAAGGATCCTATAAGGTAACCCCAAAAAGGAACTACAATGGAGACTACAGGTGGACCCTTAAGGATTTACCTCGAGAGCATGTCGCCGCTGCACTCCTGTCTTGGGGCACACAAACCCCTATATAACTGCATCAATAACGAGACGAAGGCCTAATTGAGGGGGACACCAATCAACGTATACAGGGGTTGGCAGATTTTTCTTCCACCTTCTTCCCCACGAGGTCCAAGATGCTTCGATACTTCCTCAGCATGCCATGGAGGAACCCTACTAGGCCCTACAAGGATTCCTGAAAGGAATCCTCAAAAGTTCCCTGATGGGGTTCCCAAAGGGTCGAAGTATCATCATGGTATATATATATATATATATAGACCCCCAAAATGCCCTGTAAGTATATTCCAGAATGATACTTGGACCCTTTGGGGTTGTGTTGTTGCGTGAGCGTGAGGGGGTTGTTTGTTTTGTGGATCGGGGTTCTTGTCATCTGGGACCATGGCAATGGTTGGCGTGCTTGGTTGGCGTGCTTACCCAATGTTGTCAGAGATTGCAAGGCGAAATGACGGTAGTATTACTTAATGATGTAATTTCGTGAAATCTTCACGTTGTATCGTGCTGTCTATGACAACAGTGACGACCACTATCATTGTCCTGGCGTGTCAGTCTTAATGAAGGGGCCTTAGTGATTACGTTCGTATAGGGTTTTGGGGTGTGTTATACTACAACTATCATATGGAGCCACCAAAATGGTATCGGTGACTACATACACCCTATCTAAACCCTAAGCCCTACCTCCCCTCATCTTGCATTCTGCTCTCGGAAAATTACCCAACGGTTGCACTGGGAGCAGATTGGCCCCGGACTTGGTCCAGTGTTAGGGGTTGCCTATAGTCTTCATTGTAGTTCCTTCCTTGTTTCGGATACCTTATTGGATCCTTAGTATAAGGTGGGTTAAACCAAAAGGAACTACAGCGGAGACCATGGGTAAGTTTGAGCGTGACAGAGACTTACAAGCTGTGATGCGATATCCGACTTATCGAGGATTGCATTCCACTGACAGTGTTAACAAAGGGGCCTTAATAATCAGAATACTGTTTTGGGGCCCGTTGCACTATATTCACCGTAATTTAATTACAGTAAGGAACCCCCAAGATAGTATAGACAACTATTAAGGAATCTATGACCTGTGTTATTTGGCCGAGTTGATTTCAGGATGCTCCACCTCGGAGGCAGCGGGGTTTAGGGTTGAGGGTCTGCCTCGCGATGTTAGCTTGATGGCATGTCCAGATGAGACGGCAGCTTCTGATAGGCAACCGGAGATAAGACCAATGCAATGTGCAACTACGTCAGCCCAAAACAATGGAGGCGCATGGCCTAGTAAGAAAGCGTGCAACAAGAAGAACAGTCTTGTAAATGCTGGCCATGCGGCTGGGAAGAAAGCTGTCTCCACGTCTTGTCGACGCGGCCGACGAGATTTTGCGCACAGTCCTGCATGCCAGGCGTGAGAACAGGACAAATAGTCCGTCGTGCCATGGAAGTGCCCATGATAAGTAACCGAGAACCTCCTTAATGGTAAATTTCACATCTGCCCAAACCGACATGTGTGTATATGTATAGATAATCACATATACATATATATATATATATATAATATACACACACACGCACTGGAGTACAGCTTCAGCCGTCCTCCCAATTTAACAGCTCGACGTCCACATCCAGTTCTTCCTGCAAGGGGCAGCCGTCCGAACACCAAACCCTCAACAAAACGTTCAGTTTCCTTGCATGGCCGAGGCTTGCACAATAAACTCTCCAACCTACAGCTCTACAGATATCTACATCAGCGCACTAGAATCAAAATCCTCACCCGACAGCCCTTGAGCTGAAGGACCACCGACTTCCTTCGGAGTCCAAATGTGACATCATACTGAAGGACGACATGTAATCCAGAGATCCTTTGAGGGTCCCTTAAAGGCCTTAAAGGGATCTATAAAGGTTCGATAACGGGTTGAGGGTTTCAGGGTTTAGGGTTTAATTTAGGAACCTGATTAAGAAACTTTGGATCTTTAGTAGGGTTCCTTATATGAATCCTAAGATTTTGGTGTTATAGGGAACAGGGCTTCTTAATCAGGTTCCTACATTATCCTAAAAAGATTTCAAGTTCAATTACCAACGAAAGGACAACAAAACGGTACACAGCAGACAAAGATGTCTTTCCACTTGGCACAGCTCCTGCGACCACCGACAAATAGCGAACCTCGAGATGCAGATTGCATACCCTGAACCGTATTTGCCCCATAGACTCTAAATCTTGAGCAAAAGCGTTTGCGGGGGGGTTCGCGACCCTCAAAGTAGCATTCCCTATGGGCCCCAGGGCCCACATCGTCCACTCACCATGAGAATGAGTTCCTGGGCTACATATACTGAACATTCTATTATGGTTAGTAGCCTAAGGGAAGACCAGTCAGACTAAATAGATTAATCAGCTTCATGGCTTAATCTACAACCTAGGACCTTAATGCTCCGGTCACTCATTGCGTAGTGTAGTATGTAGGACTTTACTGGAAACTGTGCTTCCCGGCTACCCAGGAATCGTCCTTGGCCCTAAACCCCAAACCTCTGACTGAACTTTAAACCCTAAACCCTGAACCCCTCATTCCCTGAACCCCTACACACCGTGCAGAGCTCCTCTGTGCCGTCGTTCATGCGCGCACCAGGGAAGACTCCAACGACCTGCGTGGCAAACAATCCGGGTGCACACCACGGGTTCTACATATCTGTCTATGTATTTGTTCACGATGCACATATATATATATATATAACATAAACATACACATATTTACTTAAGCACATAGGCATGGTACACATCCATGCATACTATAGATGTGACTATATACCAGGAGCATTCTGAAACTGTTTGGTCTGCTAAAACTTAGGGATTCATGGCTTCGCGGTTTTGGGAAACCCATCCTCCTGCCAAGAACGGCTCAGCAAGTGGAAACTATAACCTTTGTAAGTGCCTACTTCCGAATGTCAGGCCCATAATGGACACCCAGAGGGTCCTAGGTACTGTTCTTGGGAATACTTCCCCAAATCACAAAAATAATTCCTACTATAGAAACCCTACATTCTACTATATAGGTACTTTGGACCCTTTGGGACATGATAGGGACCCCTGGCAGCTGTCAACCTGAAACCCCAAGATAAATGCTACGAACACTTGCAGTCATAGGATTTCGAGCCGCCGCCCTTCAGCCGGACTTTACGGATTGCATCGAAGTTGGATACCTAGGTCCTTGAATTCGGGGCGCGGGTTCAGGCTGGAGGGTTTGGCGTCTCTGAATTTTGCGGTGAGCCCGAAGACCTTCGATCTGAACCAGGCTTTTAGGATTTGAGCTTCGGGTTTATTAGGGCATATAGGGCTTAGGCCTTATAGGGTTTAGTTTAGGGTTTAGGATTGAGGGTTTAGGTTTTTGGGGGTTTGGGGTTTAGGATTCAGAGTTTAGGGTTCCAGTTTGGGGTGTTTGGCCCGGCGTGCTTGGGGTAGGTGGGACTTCGGGGCCTAACCAGGGTGCTTAGGGTTTAGGGTTTAGGGGTTTAGGGGTTTAGGGGTTTAGGGTTTAGCGTTTAGGGGTTTAGGGGTTTGGGGGTTTAGGGGTTTAGGGTTTAGGGTTTAGGGGTTTAGGGGTTGGGGGGGTTAGGGTTTAGGGTTTGCGGTTTAGGGTTTTGTTAGGATTTTAGGGTGTTCAGGCTTCTCCAGTTCCAGGATTCGGGCTGGAATGCAGGAGGCTGCCAACTCAGACTCGATGGAAATCCGCGCTGGCTGATCCCCACTAAACCTCTAGGCCTCATATGGGAGTTTCAGAAAAATGGGGTTGCCTTATTTTGGGATCCTACTATTTAGGGTGCTACATTAGGGTTCCCCATTTTCGGAAACTCCCATATCTAACCATAAATCCTTAACACTGATATCCAAAACCCAAACCCTTCACCTGGAATCGTTAACCTTGAAACGTAGACCCTCAAATCCCAAACCAGAGTAGGTCTATGTAAACCCTATAAGCCCTAAACCCTGGAATCCTAAACCGAAACCTCGGAAGCAGCAGCCGTGGCTCCCTGCCTGGCACAGCTTCACAGTGCCGCGCGTCAGCTTTGTGACGTTATCCTGCAGCAATTGGCGGTTCATGGGTAGTTATAAGTAGGGCTAGAAGGAGGATGACTATGGTTATAACCTATATTACTCAGAACCACACTTATAACTACCAATGAACCTCCAATTAGACCCTATACCCTATACCCTTATAGAATCCCTATAAATCCCTTTAGGGAGCCTCAAAGGAACCCTTATACAAGCAGCCAGCAGTTGAAGGTTTGGGTTGATGGCCCATATATATATATATATATATAACGGTTTAGGGTTTAGGGTTTAGGGATATATATATATATATATATATATGGTAACCCCCCCCCCAGGACCAACTTCGGCCATTGTCCTGCTCATTACTGTCTTCACAGCGTCATGAATAAGAGCCGAAACCACTGTAAATACCGATGGTGTTTGTGTTCCCGTACAAAGTTTGCACTCTCGACGCCTCTTGACAGACTGGTAAAAAACAGGGTCCAGTTTTATGGACACCATTTACACTCTCGGCGCGTCTTGTCGGAGTGGTAAAAGACAGAGTCCAGTTTGTGTGCCTCATTGTGCCTCATCCTTTATTAATTATTGTCATCTTGTCAAAGTCTTATTATTAGTTTCAGTCTTAAAAAACAGTGTTAACATTTGTCTTGACTTAATTTGGTTCTAAGTTTTAACCTCAACTATTGTGAGTAGTAACCTTAATATTTTTGCTAGCGTTAGCATTATTATTAGTTTTGTGTCATTACTAATTTTAGAAGTTCTAACAATGCTGCTGGTATCTGTCCAATATTACTGTTCGTTTGATTAGTTTTCCTGTTAGTGCTGATGCTGGTGTCAGTGTCAACGTCAGTGTTAGTCTTAATATTAATATGAGTATTAGTGCTCCAGTTTAATTTAATATATGTCTATAGCAGTGTTAGTGTTAGTGTTCGTGTTAGTATTCGTATTAATATTAGACGTGGGCTGGGCTTTAAAAACTTAGTCTTAGTACATTATGTGTATAAGTATTCATATGTGTATATTCAGTATATTGGTATATAAACAAAACATATATATTCATTAAAAAAAAATTTGGGTATACTCGTATATTGGTATATTAGTAACAATGGTCTATTGGTATATCAGTTTCTCAGTATATTAATATATTAATTTATTAGTATATTAGTATAATACTATGACCGTACATATTGGTAAATGAAAACATTGAGTTTTTAACAATCTGATGCATTCATTTCCTTGTGCCTTATTCTGATGTATTCTTTAGTATACATTACAAAAACGATATTGACATTAATATGATGTTTGTAAATTCATATTGGTATTGATATTAACATGAGTCGTCATCTTGTCAAAGTCTTATTATTAGTTTCAGTCTTAAAAAACAGTGTTAACATTGGTCTTGATTTAATTTTGTTCTAAGTTTGAACCTCAATTGTTGTGAGCAGTAACCTTAATATTTTTGCTAGCGTTAGCATTATTATTAGTTTTATGTCATTACTAATTTTAGAAGTTCTAACAATGCTGCTGGTATCTGTCCAATATTACTGTTCGTTTGATTAGTGTTCCTGTTAGTGCTGATGCTGGTGTCAGTGTCAACCTCAGTGTTAGTCTTAATATTAATATGAGTATTAGTGCTCCAGTTTAATTTAATGTATGTCTATAGTAGTGTTAGTGTTAGTGTTTGTGTTAGTATTCGTATTAATATTAGACGTGGGCTGGGCTTTTAAAACTTAGTCTTAGTACATTATGTGTATAAGTATTCATATGTGTATATTCAGTATATTGGTATATAAACAAAACATATATATTCATTAAAAAAAAATTGGGTATACTCGTATATTGGTATATTAGTAACAATGGTCTATTGGTATATCAGTTTCTCAGTATATTAGTATATTAATTTATTAGTATATTAGTATAATACTATAACCATACATATTGGTAAATGAAAACATTGAGTTTTTAACAATCTGATGCATTCATTTCCTTGTGCCTTATTCTGATGTATTCTTTAGTATACATTACAAAAACGATATTGACATTAATATGATGTTTGTAAATTCATATTGGTATTGATATTAATATGAGTATGTAATAATCTTTCTATATTTGTATGAGCACAAATAATTTTGCTAGTATTATGCATGTTCGCACTAGCCGAAGTATTAGTGCTCATATTAGTATCAATATGGTTCTAAAGAGACTATTAATGTCGGTATTCGTACTGAGAATAATTTTGTTAAGAACATGAGCATAAATACCCGTAGGAATATTCATACCTATGCTTGTATTGGTATTAATACTCGTATTAGCATGAGTACTAGCATTAGTACGTATCTAGGCATGACGATTCTTATATGAATATAAAAGGGGAACATGATTATTAGTATTCGTAAGAACATTAGTTTTCCTATACATTAATGCTAACTAATATTACTATGCATATTAGTATTGGCAAGAACATTAAAGTTCGTGTTCACATCAATTCTAAAATTGGTATTACTACAGTTTTTTCAATATTAGGAGTAGATACTAGTAGTAGAATTAAAATTAGTATGAACAGAACATGCGTTGGTATTCGTCGGAATATGAAACTTGAGGTTACACTTCGTATGAGTTACTAGTACTACTGAAAAACATACCAATGCTGATATTAATACGAATGCTAACATTCATGTATGAGCATGTTATTATGCACGTTCGCACTAGCCTTAGTGCTAATATTAGCATGAATATGAGTACTCCAAAAATGAGTAGTAATTTCACGAATATGCATAGCCAATATTCATACTAGCGATAATACTAGCTATAGTATGTATATTAGTATTCGCATCAAGACTATTCATACAATGTACATGATTTCAAGTATTCTTGGGAACATCAGTATTCATACTAGCATACTACCAGTTTCACCAGTAGTATTACTATAAGTATTAGTACTCGTATGAGTATTACAGTTTTCAAAGTTTTCAAAATAATATCAATATTACTACAAGTATCAGTTGCACAGACACGTCAACCGGCGACGTCGCGAGGTCGAGTTCCCTAAATTCTCTAATCACTGCTTCCATGCCTCGAATTTACAGAATGCGTGAGTTCCTGCAGACTCCCTAAATCCCTAAAGTCTTTACATACCCTAATTTCCAGCCCCATGTGTTGGTTTTAGCGCATTCCCTAACATTCCTGACTCCCAGCCCGGACCATGTGTTGGATTTGGGGAATTCCCTAAATTCCCTAAATTCCCTAAATTCCTTAAATTCCCTAAATTCCCTAAATTCCCTACATTCCCTAAATTCCCTAAATTCCCTAAATTCCCTAAATTCCCCAAATTCCCTAAATTCCCTAAATTCCCTACCCATGAACGGAAACCATTGAATCTTCTCCATGGGGGTCAGACTTAGGGAATTTAGGGAATTTAGGGAATTTAGGGAATTTAGGGAATTTAAGGAATTTAGGGAATTTAGGGAATTTAGGGAATTTAGGGAATTTAGGGAAATAGGGAATTCCCCAAATCCAACACATGAGGTAGGGAATTAGGGAATCTAGGGAATTTAGGGAAATACCTAAATCCAATGGGTAGGGAATTAGGGAATTTAGGGAATTCAGGGTTGGTCTTGGGGGGGGGGCTAGCATATATATATATATATATATATATATATAGGTCAGGCTGAAAAGTGCAGAGCGACGCAGAAAGGAAGACAGGTACCTCAATCACGAGTCATCGTAGTACTACCCTTCGCGTATAAGCTTTGTAGAAGAATGGGCATGCAAGACCTCTTGAATGATCTTGTTGCGACAGTGGGACCAAAACGGACGGCGGAGTCAAATCTGAATGCTAAGAAGCAGCCCTGTCTCTGGCAAAGCATGCTGTAGGAGCCTTAATAGTTAGAACAGGGTTCTGGGGCTCTTAGGGTTCTGGGGCTCTTTTATGATTGTGGCATAATATACCCCAAAACCCTGTTCTAATTATTATGGCCGCTATACTACAGAACCCTACTATAGATCCCTTACAGTACCCAGGAACCCTTTACAGGAACCCTATTCTAATTATTAAGGTCCCCATACTAAATCCTTATAGTAACCCTTATAGACCCTTTTAAAGGAACCCTTGAAGGAAACCTGTTCGAATTGTTAACACCCCTAGATTACAACACCCTCATCTTTAGCGGCTCAGTGAGCGGACAATGGAAATCCAGCACGCTAAAGATCGCCTTTTGGCCTTTTGAGAGGCTTGGTGTTTAGGGTTTATGTAAGGCTTTTAAGGGTTTAAGGGTTCAGGGGCTATATCCTTTAGGGGTATTAGGGGCTTGAGGTTTAGTATAGAGTTTTAGGGGTCTAGGGTTTAGGGGTTTAGGGCTTAGGGGATTAGGGAAAATAGTCGTTGAAAAAGCCCTTAGCTTTTCTCAGGTACTTCATATGGTGTTCGTAACCTTGCACCTCCACCCTGAAGATCAAAGCTTCCCCACTGCACTGCCCCACAGCAACTATACCCTAAACCCTACTCCAAAACTCTAGGACACTTTGGGCGCCTCCAATGAAGCAAAGTTCTTTTCGTAGACCTTCTGATCCAACTCCTCGTAGATGGCATCCTTGGCCACTCCCCGCCATACATAGAGGGTTCTTGTCACTGGATTCAATCAGAGGTACAATAACAAGGAAACCATATTAATTAGACCCCCCATTATGGTAACTTAATTTCATATTGAACTCCTTAACAAGAACCCAGCATGTGCGAAGGTTTTTGCTCGACTTAGGGTTCGGGGCTTGAAAAACGAAAGGTGGCCAAATGGCCGTGGCGCATGTACACTATGCAGCTCCACTTGGGGTGGACAGATAAGGGTCGAAGGAGCAGACCATGTACCCAAATAGTATGTACTTTGGCCCCAAAAGTAACTATATAGGGACTACTTCAGGGCCTAAGTATATATTATGTGGGCACATGGACCCTCAGGGAGAAGTATCAGGTTATAGTGGAGCTGCTTGATGACTTGATGACTGGATTTGGTACCTACTTATAAGCCCTCCTCCAGTACAGTTCACCATGATAGTCCATGATAGTCCAGTTCAGAAGCAAACTACCAGTTAAACTCTCGACGTATAAATGGGTCATACTACCTCCGATGAGTTCATCGTTTCGTACTTACACGACTACCCTTGAACTGTGAAAGTCTGATTGCTGTGAGACTGGAGTTCTGAAGTCCTTAACCTCAAAGTCCGAAAGCCCTGAAAACTGGCAAAAGCAAACCAAAAAGAACACTTCGGCAGCTCAACATGTAAATACGCTGGGGATTTCACCACGTCCTGTTTGTGACGCTGGGTATCCTGGCGACCGAACTACTGTGCATGGACTTCAATGAAGCCTAAGGCTGTCCAGGGCTTTAAATAGAGTTTAGGGGTTTAGGGGTTTCAGGGCTTAGAGGTTGGGGTGTAGAGGTTTGAGGGTTTAGAGTTCAGGGGTTTAGGAGTTCAGGTTGTAGGGCTTGCCTGACGCGAGTCCTGTTGGATCTGGGTACGTTTAGGGTTCGGGATTGGTGGAGCAGCAGCAACCACCTATAGCACCAACCGTATATTTTCTTGCTAACACAAGTCATTGCCTCGGCGCGGAGGCGCTCAAGCTTGCGCAAGTCGTCGCTGCCTCAGGGCTGGGCATCGACTTTGGATGGTTTCGGGCCAGGGTGAGGGTGTGCTTAGAGCACCCTACACCCCAAACCCTAGCACAGTCAGCCGCACAGCCCCTTCAAGACCTCCTTCCGATCATTGTGTTGATTCAACTCTTCCCTCTCTTCCTACATCCCTCCCGCCGGCATCCACAGTTTAGGGGTGTAGGGGTTTCGCAGGTTTTCATCCTTTCCCCAGGCATCCATTCACATATCTAGCGCCGATTGACTCGGAGCTGTGGGGCCTGGGAGAGACTACAACTATGGCGGAGCTGAAGAGGAATAGGTTTAGGGTTTAGGGTATATGTATGTGAAGCCTGTAAGAATTGCAGCAGGAGTAGGCAAAGGTCCATGTACATGTGTACAAATATAGACATATAACATTTTGTATACATATGTATGTATATCCGAAGCAGATGTTCACATACATCTATACATATATGTATATGGAGCGAGAGGGAGACACAGAGAAAGCCAGAGAGAGAGAGAGAGAGAGAGAGAGAGAGAGAGTGTGTGTGACAGAGTGAGACAGACAGAGAGAGAGAGAGAGAGAGAGAGAAGAGAGAGAGAGAGAGAGCGAGGGAGGGAGGGAGGGAGGGAGGGAGAGAGCGAGAGAGTGGGAGCAGAAGAGAGTGAGAGAGAAACACACCGCGCACTTGTTCGGCTGGTCAGGAGTGTACAAGACGGAAACAGATGTCATGAACATGCCTAAGGATGAAGCTCTGCAGGGGGGCCGGTCAAGTTCTGATTTTGAGGTGGCACAAGCACACAAAGCTACCACACATGCAAATTTGCCTTTAACGGGGTTGCTGTAGTGCAGTGCATGGTCGTACAGGATAATGGCCACAACCTACTGGACAACTGGGCTTCTAGGATACATAAGTTAAAGAAAAGTTCACACAGTCAATTGGCTTGACCCGCCTTTCCCAATGTCCACATCATGTGCAGCACTCTTGACGGTGAGGCTGTTAACCTGCAAACGAGCTTGATGAATGCAGGTCGGCTCCTGCTTCAGCGTGTAGCATTGGGGGGTCAAACCTAGGAGATCCGTGCACGTCGCCATGTCTGCCTGGCTGACGACCGTCTCAAGACATAAGCAGGAGAAACTAATTGCTACATGTGCACAAGCATTGACCACCTTATCATTGCACAACTGCGTACTTCTTACTAGGTGCGTGTGTTTGCCACATGGACATCAACCTGTGTATGCATACACGTGCATATTCTTGTTGCAACATACACGCGGGTATACATGCCTGCATGCAGGCAAATATGCGCGAACATATACCTACATACATACCCACCTACCTACCACGTACCGCGTACTTACCTACCACCCCCCTAAACCCTAAACCCTAATCCCTAAACCTACTACCTCTCTACCTCATTGCCTCGCTCTACCTCTCAGTCTCTACCCACATAGAGTTTAGGGTTTAGGGCTTTAGGGTTTAGAGTTTAAGGTAGAGTGGCCACGACCCCAGACTCAGCGAAAGCTTTCTCAGTTTGAAAGAGAAGTCGGCAAGAATGCCGCTGCCGGCAGGATAGTACATGTCGCGTCGGGTCTACCGAACTGCCGAAACTCAAGCCAGCTATGAGACTTAAGTGCCCAATATCGGAAAGCTGAAGTATGAAATCGACACCATACGGCCTCGTCCCTAAGCTTCCCGATGTCCCTCTTGGACTCACCACTCGCACCTTTCATGACAGTTGCGCTGTCATGTTTTCCTGAAGGTGTCCATGTAATCTCGCGCACTGTCCCCGTCTCGACTTGTAGGTGTTGTGAATGGGCTTCCATGTTTTCAGGGTACTGATAGGGCTTTGTGAGGCTCCTTCTTTGTGAGCTTTCTGCAAAGAAAGAGCTTGTATCAGACCCTAAGCCCCAAATCCGTTCGAGATGGAATGATACAAGCTGTAGCCACCAGTAAGAGAGAACTTCGCTTCAAACATACCGTTTCTTCTTGATGCTCGGCGAAACGAAGATTATCGAAGATTGAAACCCTAGTCGCAGCAAAGCTTATGTGAGTTTGCCTGTTGGACCAGTCTGAATAGCAGCTGCCCAAACCCTAAACCCTAAACCCAAAACCCAAAACCCTAAACCAGCCTTCAAAGGGGTTCTGAGAAGTCCCCGAGCCAACAGATGCACTGCATATAGGTGACCATAGGTGATTGATGGGCCTTAATGGTTTCAATAAGTGGCAGATTCTACCTACTAGGGGTTTTACGGTTTAGGGTTTAAGGTACTATAAGAGCAGAGGGACAATAACGGGATGCTGTCAGCAGTTCCTGCAGACCCTATATCAGACATGACGAAGGGCTCTTTGGTTTCGGACCGGTTCTTCCAGCGGATCAATGCAGGCGTGGCTTCAGGTCTGGCTTCATTCGCTTTATTGTTCCCCAAAATCCAGAAGTTGACGTTCTCAAAACACAGGCTCGAAACTAGCTGGGTTACTGCCTGCAAGAAGCCCCCCTCAAACAAAACAATGAATCCAGCTTTGGTGCCAGAAGGCTCGTAGCTTTCAAACTCTAAGTGCCCTCAACTTGACTGAAAATCCAAGTACCCCCGTAGTATAGTTGGTAACGCAGTTGAGAACAACTCGACCAACATAACCCGGATTAGGACGAAGTATCTGGGGCAGAATAGCTACTTGGACCGGTACAGCACGACCCCACCCCGCGAAAATCGCTAAGGGATATTCAGAGTGAAAGGGATACACTCCAAACCCTGAACCCCATGAACCCTACCTAGAGAGCCCAATACCACTGACTTAATTAAGGAATATATCTTAAATCATAATATGAAGCCCTATATAATTTAAGCCATATTCCTTCATTAAGGGGTATTGGGTTCTCTGGGTATAAATCCTAATCCAATAAATCGACTCTCCGAGGCAATTCCCTTTGACCAGCCTTGCAGCCCGGCGATGCGTAGGTCCAGCGCATTGAGGCGTTTGCTGGTCTCCTTTATGAAGCCCGAGGGTCCAAAGGACCCAATAATCAGGTACTCGGTTTTAGGATAGCAGTTATGTAGGTTAGACTTTTGGAGCGTATTTGATTATCAGATACTTGGACCCTTGGGGGAACCCTACGCATTAGCGCTTGCAGGCCTATCTTCGCCTGGGATTGTTTTGCTGGGTTGGATGAACTGACATTCTGAACCAAAGCCACTGAAGATCCCTTGCTTTCTCTATGGCTTGAAGCCTCAACAGACAAATTGCAGCAAATTTGCCGGACCTGGATCATGGCCCCTAAACCCTAAACTGCTAAACCGAACTTGGATACACTTCCCCAGCCAGACATTGAACGACCTATGAAGATTGGACCCAGACTTCCTGGTCGCCCAAACACACAAGGGCTTAATATCCTAAAAATATCTTGTAACATATCCTTACCCCTAGGGATCAAAATAACCCAAAAGCCTTAGACATTATGGTCTTTGGGCCCAAAAGTATGGTCTTTGGGCACAAAAGCCTCAATATATGAGTCCAAGACCTTTCAAGTCACAAGTCTGCTCAGAAATCCGTGAATGCCATGACATGAAGCCGCGAAGCCTGCAATCCTGAACCTCCAGGGCTACATCCCTATCAGTCCTGCACTGCGCACTCTCAACCCTCAACCCGGTAACCCGAAACCTCTAGACCTCCAAACCCCTAAACCACTAAGTCATAAACCTTTAAACCTGAAACCATGTAACAAACCCTTAATCCCTGCCCCCTACGATTACCCCGCACACATGCTACAGCTGAAGAGGTGTGCCCCTTCAGATCCATCCCGAGTGCCTGCCAGAGCTGTGGCCCCAACTGCCGCGAGCTCGGGCAATTGGCTCGAACAAACCGCTCGGTTTCCTTCAAGTGGGCCCCGTCGGTCCCTCCACTCGCTTTCAAGCAGAAGGTGAACATGTGCTGAACCGAGCTGGCGCATTTCGGCTTCGAGGCCAAATTTTTTTGATGTTCGCAAATGCGTGTTCCCGCTTCGCGAGATCAATGGCAGAAGATCTGGAACCTCTCTGGCCACAGATGCCGCAATGACGTCCCAACTGAGGCCCTCGTTTGCGGCTTCGCTGAAGGCTGGGACTCGCAGTCGCAGCCTTTCCATGCTCAGGCCGGTGTTTTTATAGGGTTTAGGGTTTAGGGTTTAGGGTTTAGGGATTAGGGGGGGGGGGGGTTCGGGGCATCCGGGGGTGAGTGGGATTGGCAGTGTCCCGAAGCCTTAAAGCTTTAGCCCTGAGCCCTAAACATAAACCCCTAAACCATAAAGCTCTGGTCGCTTCGGTCTGATTAGTACTGCTGTAGTCTCTGGCTCTATTAAAACTAATCTATCCTAGCCCCCCTACTGTTTTTAAACAACGGCACAAAACCGCAAAATTGCGGGGGCCCGGAATTTTCATATTAGGGGGAGGTTTAATGTTAGGCGTAAGGGATTGTAGAGCCCGTTTAAGGAACCCTAAACCCATAAACCTTGAAATCTCGAACCCACGAACCGCGTCCTTGGAGACGGACGAATGGTGTCTCTCCACCACATCCACTCGCTCGTTGATCTCTTTGTGGAGATCCTCGTCCTCGCGACGAGCATGCGTCAGGGCTTATGGTCCTGGATCAGAGTTTTTGGGTAATACCACACCATCTCTCTCTCTCTCTCTCTCTCTCTCTCTCTATATATATGCATAGATACATATACGTACACTCAAAAGCAATGATGATAAGACTGACGATAGACCTAACAGTAATGTTAAGGGTACCTTCACAGGGTTAGGGAGCTAAAGGTGTCGGGTTTGGGATTTGGCATATCTATCTATTTATCCGTCTATCTGTCCATCTATCTTTACATACATACATCTGCATCTATACAGTGATATAGTGCATATGTGTGTGTATATATATACATATATTCGATAGGGATCTTCTTACCTCACGAGATGATTTTGCAACAGCTGAGGAAGTCTTGCGGCGGGATCCTCGAGCCAGGTACCCCCACCCCGGTGTGTTCTATCCGACAATGTTTCCACTGACCGTAGGATGTTGCAATAGTTCCAGTTCCAGCCCAAGAGACACCTCCGACACTAAAAGCTTTAATCAAGAATGGCCCCTATAATCCTCAAGTAGTGAGAATTTACACTTAAACCTCAACCCCCGAACACCGAAATCCCTCAACCCCTGAGGGAAGCCATGTAGAACACTTTGCAGAAAATCTGTAAGGAAGCCTTGTAGAACCCTCTGCGGACGCCCACAGTGGCTCCTGCTTCATGAGTGTCGACTCCACGTGATCTTGGCGTCAGGAGCTGCTACCGATCGATTCTTTACCCTAAGGGTTCATGTGACATGTGCCCAAATAGTTTATACTTTGGGCCCAATGCAGAATACTTTCAGGCCGAAGTATCTGCTATTTGGGTACATGGACCCTTAAACCCTAAACCCTATAGAGCCCTTATAGAACCCCTGTAGAACCCTTCAAGGCAACCCTTAGAGGAACCCTATGTGGGCACATGGACCCTCAGGGTTAGGGTTCTTCTTCGGATCTTCTGGAAAGAAGGCGCCGTGGCCTTCGGAGCTTTCAGGTCAAATGCAATGGGGCTGAAGGATTACTACGGTTGATGATATAAATCCTGCATTACCTTAAGGACCCTAAACTATGGGAAGTATGGTATATTCCTTATTATGGGTAATGCAGGATTTATATCATCAACCGTAGTATGCCCAGTAACCTAGGAATAACAAGGGGCTCCCTTTTCGGTATTGGGTAACTTCATCAGGAACCTAGGACTACAAAAAGGGAATAAGGGTACTACTGGGCATCCTAGATTAAAGCCCAAACCCCCAAACTCTAGCCCCCAGGGTGCTGTTTGGCAACATGTCCAAGACCTAAACCCTACTCTTGAGGCTCTGGGGGGTGCTACGGTTGATGATATAAATCCTGCAGTACCGGACCCTAAACTATGGGAATTACGGTATATTCCTTATTATGGGTAAGGCAGGATTTTTATCATCAACCGTAGAACAAGGGATGAAGACTGGGCATTCTCGAACGTTTAGGCTTCGTCCTTCCGAAACAAAAGTCGTCAATACGGTGCTGAAACAATATGTGAATTAGGTCAGACCTGTTTGCGGCGTACTGCATCCATTCGAATCATCCTGGGACGATAAGCATGCCCCAGAGAACCCAATACCCTTAATTCAGGAATATGGCAATAATTATGTAGAGCTTCATATCATGATTTAAGCTATATTCCTTAATTAAGGGATATCGGAGTCCCCTAAACCCTAAGCCCTATAGATCCCCTAAAGATTCCTTAAAGGATCCCTTAAAGCCCTAGGTATATTCCTTAACTAGGGGGTATTGGGCTCTCTGGGGAGACTTTGATGGGTCCTTGCCCTCGGGCCAGAGGTTGTTAGAAAATACAATAGGGTTCCGTTAAAGGGGTCTGTAAGGGCTACTATAAGCCCCTAAACCCTAAACCCTTAAGGGATCTATAAGGGTACTACAATATAGAGGCCGATTAACTCAACTTTGCGTCCAGACTCTGATTCTAAACGAACCCAACAGGGAGCCTGCTTTAGATACAATCAGGACCACTTGAGGTTTGGTTTGAAAAAGCTTCTCTTGGTAGTCCGAATCCGAAGTTCAATTCCAGTTAAGGACCTCCATCATGCGATGAAGAGCGACCTGGAATTCGGACAGAAGCTAGCTTGGGTCCCTTCTCCAAGAGCCAAAAGGACCCATCCAACCCTTTACAACCTCCGTTATGCTTTGTGTTTCTTCAGAGCTGCCCCGCTTGGAGGATCATGGGACTTAGTAAGTAAGGTTATAAGTACCTTAATTGGGGGTATAAGTAGAGTTACCCTAATTATAACCCTAGTTACTAAGTCCCATGATCCTTGTAGCGGGCTAACTGCCGCCATGCCACTTATCCGATTGTCCAGATCCTCTCTCTGGCCGTCGATCTGACCGATTGATGATGGGGGGGCCCAAAAGGGGGGTGTAAGATTCTTGGGGTAGGGATTCCTTAACATGAACCCTATTATGGCAACCCTAATCCCTACTAAACCCCCATAGGCTAAAACCCCTTTTGGCCTCCTATGAGTTGAAGCTTTGGGGCTTGGCGGTTCAGGGGATAAGGGTTCGATTGGTTTTGACTCCCTTTTTACAGCTGCCCAACCATCTTAAGGGTTTGATTTTGGGGTTTAAACTACTATTTGCTTAAGAACCCACAAAAAATAAAAAAATAGATTCCTTACGGGGGTAATATCGGGATTATTATTTCTATTTTTTGGGGGGGTTCTTTTGCAAATAGTAGAAAAGTTTGGGGTTTTATAGGCGCCAGGATGAAGGGCCTCGAGGGTTGAGGTTTTCCTGTGCAGGGTAGGGCCTTGGGGTTGGAACTTGCAATTGAGGAAACATGTTACAAACCCCGAGCCAGCCAGCGATTCAGGGTGTAGGGCTCAGACACTTCAGCTAAACGTTGGTTCAAGGATGAGCGCTTTTTTCGTACTACTAGCAGTACAGACAAACACAAACCCTCGCCCTCTACCACGCAGCCCTGATGTGCCAAAGAATTGGTTCCTGAGTTGCAGCTGCAAAAGGCCCAGCCGAAACCGAAAAAGCACAACAATCCCGGAATGTCCCTGAATACTGTGAAATTCTTCTCTGAATTCTATGCCTCCATGCCCTACTGAAGCTGTTTGCTTGCCGGGGCGGGGCTAGGGAAATTTTGCTATGGCCACATTGGGACTGCAGCAAGGGATATCGTTAATAAGTAGGGCTCCAGCTTAGGGGTGACCATAAACCCACACCCATACGAGAACTACGGACTTCACCGGCCTTTGCGTGCATGCTCACGTGCACGTCGGCATGCCGATCTCAGTGGAGATAATAGTAATGATAACGACAATAAGGCCAATAGTAATGGGAATAAGAATCATCAACATAGTAATAGCAATAGTATAGAAAGGATTCAAGGAACCTAAAGTCTGGGGGCACGTTGTGGGGAGTTCCGGTTTAGCTCTAGGGTGCACAAGGAGTACACTGTCTCTGGGGTAGGACTGCACAACCAAGAAGCCTGGCATGAGATAGAACTGAACCTTAAGGAAGCCTGGAGGCAAGACTTGCCGACGCCACTGCCCCGTAGTATGTCTGCACACGGAGGCCGCAAACGCTGACAAGCGCAAAAGGCCGTCCTAAGCACCGAAGCCTTCAGCTGGACCACAACAACAAACTTCAAACATTCATATTGAAATCACTAAACTAAACGACAAACTACAGTCTACTAAACTATTCGGGGCCCTAAGGGCCTCTTGCAATTTGAACTGTAACTTCGAGCCCCACGCTGCACCACACCAAGGGCTGCACTCAGCATGGACTCCAGGTCGCGGCAGTGCTGCAATCGCTCCTTCCGACATTCGGGATCTGGGAATGTTTTTGGTTACCTAGCACGTGTTGTAGGTGTAGATTGGACAAATGGGGGTAAAATAATGCCCCTACACCTACACCATCTAGTATTCAGCATACGTTTGCGGTCCAGGTACGGGCTAGGCGGGCTTTGCGAAGTTCTTGAGAAAATATGTTCTGTTGGTGGTCTACATACGGGTTTGCCCTCAGGGTCCATGTACCCAAAGAGTATATACTTTGGCCGTAGTGTACTCCCTATATAGGTACATTGGGCCGAAGGTATATACTATTTGGGTACGTGGACCCGCCTTAGGGTTGGGGATTCGTACAATGACCTTTGCAGAACAAGACGCAAACGAACAAAGCTGCAGCAACAATTTTTTTGTTGATTGAATAATTACCAATACTATTTTGGGGGTTCCTTGTTAGGATTTTTAATAGAATGGGGCCCCAGAACCCTAGGCTGAATATTAAGGCCCCTGGATCAAACAGGTTACAGCAAGAGCGCTGTCAGGCTAGCACAACATATGTAGTCAAAATCCTAAAGTAATGGTGCTTCCCCAAGGGTTCAAGTACCCAATAATCATATACTCTCCCAAATCCTAACCTGCATAACTACGATCCTAAAACCGAATACCGAATTATTAGGCTCCTACATTATAGAACCCTTATAGTAGCCATTGTAGTAGCCCCTTATAGACCCCTTTAAAGGAACCCTAGGAACCCTATTGGGTCCTTTGGCCCTTGGGGCTTCATTGAAGTCAGCAGACCAGAATAGGAGGACTTTGGAGGCCAGACCACAGAAACCAGATTTAATACAGGGGCCTTAATCATTAGAATGGGGATTTTGGAGCCCCTTCTACAAATTCTACTATATTCATAGTAAGGAACCCCCCAAAAAAGTATTGGTAATTATCCAGACCCTAAACCCTAAACCCTAAGCCCCCAAACTACACTTAAGCTGCCTGAAACCCTGGGCCTCGGCCCTCACACTTGCAAAGGGTAAAAGGAGGGAGCCTTAAAGGGGACCCCTACCCTATAATGGGCTATATAATGGGTATGTAATGGCTGTATTCTGGGTATACACCCAGGGGTCCTTATTAGGGGTCCCTTCCTTTACTCCTTGACACTTGCATCCTTGCACCACAAACGTCTCCCCAATGCTAAGTCTTGAAACCTGCTCACGGAACCCTAAACAGGTACACCTGAACCACACCATTAACAAAAAAAAACATCCCAACACCCCAGACACTGAACCCTAAAACCTGAACCCCAAATCCTGAAGCCTAAACCCAAACCCTGAAGCCCCAAAAACCCAAATCCTGAAACCTAAACCCTAAAACCCTACACCAATAAGCCCTGAAGCCCAAAAAATCCTAGATCCTAAACCCCAAACCCCCAAGTCCTGAAGCTGATAAACCCTAAAACCCTCGAGAACGCATGTCGCGAAAGTTCAGAGCGAGGCCTCCAGCTTCTCACTGAGAACCTCAGTAGGACCGTGTTTTGGGGTTCAGGGCAAAAGGGCCCCTTAAAGGAACCCGTATAGAAACCCTTAAAGGGTTCATTATATGGTACTTGGAGGTTCATGGGTTATAAGTGGGGTTATAAGTCCACTAACATAGGCTATAACCATAGTTATCCTACTTATAACCCTTAATCCTATATATAACTACCCATGAACCTCCAAGCACTCCTTCCAAGGGGTTTCAGTGCCCCACAGTCGCGGATTTGATTTGGGCTTAAGACATTGATGGTTACGGCTATGGGACTCAACTCATAATAAGGAATATGCCATAATTCCCATAGTTTAGGGTCCTTGAGGTTGTGCAGGATTATATCATCAGCAGTTCGGCTATTGCGGATGTTTGCAGCTCATGATGGCCAGGCCGGTAACTGTAAGGTGCTGTACACTTCTCGGGGAGGTCTGGGTAAACAAGGTGGGCTGAAGACTTCAGCTGCTTCAGACAGGTGTCTGCTCCGATGGAATGACAAATAGAGAACGGGACTATAGAAGGGGATACTCGAAACCCTAAACCCTGAGACGCTGACGGAAGTTGCTTCTTCGGTCGCACGCTGCATACTGGCTCTGCCGCTGTCCCCCTGGAGTGAGTGCTTCGGGACTTCAAGTTCGGGGGGGCAGGGCTTAGGGAAGCACTCAGCGAAGTTGAAGTTCTTAAACGACCTAGACCCCCCAACTCCCCTCTATCATTCCCCAAGTACTCACTATTAAGGGCCATAAGGGCTCTATTGAGGGGCCATTGGGGAGTCCTCGAAGAGTTCTTCTTATCGTCTTCGTCTCCATACTCTGGTCAAGGAAGTCTGGCACTGAGCTCCGAAATCAACACGGAGGGCTCGCAAGTTCAAAGGGGAAAAGGAGGGACCCTTAATGGGGACCTACCCCATAATGGGCTATATAATGGGTATATAATAAGGGTATATACCTAGGGGTCCTTATTAAGGGTCCCTCCTTCTACCCTTGGACAAGTGCAAGCAGGATCGAACCATTCCCATAATATGGGAGTTTCCGAAAATGGGGGGTACCGTTATGTTGAGGTGCTTACAATAAGGATCCTGCTATTTAGGGTGCTATATTTGGGTCCCCTGGTTTTCGGAAACTCCCATGTTACCGGGCCCTCAGCTAGACTCCAAACAGCGAGCAGCAATTATGTATACTATTTGGGGGGGTGCCTTATTATAACTATAGTATAATGGGCCCCAACACCCTATTCTAATTTTTAAGGCCCCTATTCAAGAAACAGCTCAAGAGCCTGGGATTTCAAGGTGCCCCTGTTGAATGAGGAGGAGGGGGTTGATGCGAGATCTTCGTGATGACTGCCAGTGCTAGTGCTGCATTGCTCTTGTCTACTACTAAAGCAAAAAAGCCCCCTAAAGCCACAACCGAAAGCCATACCGACACCCCGCCACCCGAAAACACCCTAAAGCCCTACCGAACTCTCAGGCCCTGACGGCCCTGAAAGCCTACAACCTGAAACCTCAAACCTTTAAACCCCAAACTACCAAGATCTCAAAAACCCTCAGACAAAAACACCCTAAACCCTAAATCCCTAAACCCTAAACCCTCTAAAGGTGAAAGCAAGCCTTCTGCTCGATCTGCTTCAGCTCCCCAGCCAGGCTTCCCAAGGCCTCACACGTGGCTTCGTTAGGGGACCCAACAAAGCATCTAACCAAGGGTTTAAGGTTTAGGGTTGTTTAGGGCCTTAAGGGTTTCGAGCTCAGGGTTTAGGGATAAGACTCTAACCATAGGTTTAGGGGTTTATCGTAAGGGTCCATGGACCTATATGGGGAGCACTATAAGGCCAAAGTAGATACTATTTGGGTACATGGACCCTTTGGGTTAGAGTTTGGGGTTTAGGGATAAGGATCCTAGTGTTGGGGTGCAAGGGAGTTTCTAGAGGTTTCATAAGGAGGAACCATCCACCTCCAGGTCTTTCGGGTGACCGGCACGGTTTAGGGCTTTAGGGTGTAGTGTCTATATAGGTTCTGCAGTATCTGGTTTAAGGCTGTATGGCTTTGACGTTTAGGGTGCGGGGTTCAGCATTCAGGGCTATTCGAAGCCAATAAATGGAATACTGATTTGGGGACTCACGGTTTCGGGCTGGTTTAAACACTTCGGGGCTTGCCTAGGCGAAGGACATACATGATTGTTGATTAGAGTAACTAGAGCAAAACTTGGTGGGCTTCGGGTTGCAGGTCTCTTGCACGGACAAGCCAAAATGTCCTGAACAAAACTGGAAGGTGCTGGAACATCCAAAGAGCGCGGGACTCCTTATCCGCGAGAATTGAAGTCGTAAGGATGGGTAGGTCCCCGCTTTAATTCGTCGGAGCAAGATGACTCTTCATCGGCTTGCACAGCCTCTAAGCGGCCCCCTAAACCAACAAATGATGCAACATCGGCCGCTCTTACCGCACCATGACGAGCAGCATCAGACGCCCCAGGCATGCGCAGTTTAGGGCTTTAGCTACCACCTGGCCCCCAAAACGAAACCTGCGGAAGCGTTTGCCAAGCCTCTAAGCAAAAAACTCGGATTCACCACAACAACCAAGGCACCCAAACCACCCAAACCTACCTGGGCACTAAACCCGCCAGACCATCCCTAACCACCGAATCCGGGAACACGGAGCCCGAAACACTTCAGAGTTTAGGCACCGAGGGGCCCGGGTCAGGTGTGGAGGATTAAGAGAGACGAGGCTTCAACAGCTATGCATGGAGAACCGACAAGCAGAAAGCTTATAAAGAGCCTCTTGGCTTAACTTGACGATGCAATCGAACCTTTCTAGTCTACAGGCCCAACTAACCTAGCACCTGCACCTCCTTCAAAACTAATCAAAACCCTACGTTACATAACCCAAACATCATCGCTTCAAGCCACGCCTCAAAGCTACTCCCGAAACATGACGCCCTAACCTTAAACCCTAAAAGCCCTAAACAAAAGCACAGCATGCAAAAGCCCTACAGCCCGAACATACAAAACCCTGAAGTCCGAACAAACAACCCAAATACTTTAAAGCCCGAAACAAACAATATAATACCCCGAAGCAGCCTAAAACCTTAAAGCCCCAAACTGAAAACCAGAAGCCCTAAACTAAACCTGGGTGGTTGTCGAAACTATGGTCCGGCACCCTAAATATTAGGGTGCCGTACTATATTAAGGACCCCAGAAAGGGGCCATAATTTTGACAACAACCCTAAACCCTAAACCCCTAAAGCCCTAAACCCTATACCCTAAAACCCTAAAGCCTAAAACCCTAAAATCCTACACCCTAAAACCCTAAACCATAAAACCCTAAACTAATCCCTAAAACCCTAAAGCCCTAAACCCTCAAACCATGATTTTGACAACCCCCAAACCCTAGACCCAGAACCCTAAACCCAGAACCCAGCAACCCCAAACCTGCCTCCCTAAACTAAACTACTATTTGCCCTAAGAACCCCCCAAAAAATAAAAAATATATTCCTTATAGGGGTAATATAGGGATTATTATTTTCTATTTTTTTGGGGGGGGGTTCTTAAGCAAATAGTAATAAACCCAAAACGAACTGCGGGGCCTCATCGACCTTCCGCCTTCGGCTGTCCACCTCCAGGCGGAGGGCCGACGCCATGTCCCGGACCTGAGAAGGATCATGGGACTTAACAAAGGGTCCTTAAAAGGCTCTTTAAAGGGATCTATAGGGCTCTTTAAAGGGATCTGTAGGGTTTAGGGTCTACTTGGAGGATCATGGGACTTAGCAAGTAAGGTTATGAGTACCTCAATTGGGGTTCTGATTAGTTATAAGTAGAGTTGCCTTTAAGGTTTAGGGTTTAGGGCCATTAGGGTTTCGGGTTTAGGGCCTTTAGGGTTTACTTGGAGGATCATGGGACTTAGTAAGGTCCTAAGTACCTGAATTGGAGTTATAAGTAGTTATAAGTAGAGTTACCCTAATTGCGTGGGGGATTGATCTCGACTAGGTTGCTGCTCTCCCCACCAGAGCTGTAATGAATGTAGGTGTGGCTGGCTTGCACTCTCCACAGACTGGACCCTGTCTCTCTCACACTTCCACACGTGCAATCCTATGCAGGCAGAACCGGCGGCCGTTCCTTTTGCACTCACTGCCGGCGGCGGTTCGTCTGTGCAACGGGATAGCTCTGATTGCTCAGGATAGAAGACACTTATAGCACTTAGCTATGGGCATTGACTTGAGCCAAACGTTGCGTGGGCGGTCACATAGAAAGGTAAAGACGAGGGACGCGTAGCGTGCCCCCTTAGAGTCGAGGGACGCGTAGCGTGCCCCCTTCTCTTGCACTTTACACGGTCTTGCTCACAGCTCTTATAGTGACACCTTAGAACTTGACAAGGCATCGCAGTCCGTTCGCACCCCCCATGAGTTGCGTCTCCGACGCTGCTCACCCGGAAGATGGCACGATAGGACAACAGAAAATGTTCCGCCGCAACGTTGACATTGAAAATCAGAGCTTTGCATCCCAATTAGAAACGTTGTGACACTCATCTACGTCAGTAACGATCCCCTGAAATGGCAAACGAATCAGGCGTCACCGAAGAAAGAAGCATTCGCGATGGCATTCCATGGGCGAAGCTCAGAGGTCACGAACTGATAGGCGAGGAAGACCAAGCGTTGATTCATCTCCATCTTCGCGTGGTCGCAGGATCGCGGTCCCAGGGCCGGAGGTTTTCCTCTGGATACTGTTCCCTTTGCTTTCCTTTGTCCTTGCCTTTGTTTCGGCCTTTGCCGGCGATGTAGTCATAGTATGTGTTGGCGTTCCAGCCTCCATGCTGTTCACCTCCGGTTCTCTCACGCCCTTTTGAAGGTCCCTTGGCCGAAGAAGCGCTTGCACGTTCCTCCGTAGTGACAGGCGTGTCCAGGATGGAAGTACCACCTGGAGGGAGATAGTCAGCGGCCGAAATGTGGTGTAGGGCTTCAGTACGCTTGGTCGTCGGGTTTTGCTGTCTCTCAGCCTTGGATCTGTTCAATCTGTCCATGAAATGCGCAGGCATTTGCACATTGTGGTCCACCAGCAATCCAATGGTCTGGACTGAATGATCGGCATGAGTCAGCAGGATACCGACGGGGTCGATGTACAAGAAGTCCACCGGTCCAGTTGGCGTTGGTCGTAGCACTGAGAATTGTTGGTGTCCTGTCACCATCGGAATCACCTCGCACAGGACGTTCAGGCAACAGAAGTGCATAGCCTTCACATCTTCATCCCTGTTGCTCTTCAAGTACGTAGTAGGGTTGAAGTTGTCCCTGCCAATTCCCATCATGTTGGCTCCCCGTGTAAGCAACGAAAGCATCTGATTCGTCCGGAAGCGCTTCAAAGTGTAAGTCCCGTTGGGATCGTACTGCTTGAGGTTCTCAGGCTCCTTGGCAAAGCGAATGATCTCCTCATCAGTCACATCCCTGCTCACACCCGTCTCTCTGTCCACTACAGCCAATGATCCCCACTTTCCGAGCACATCATAGCGTTGGCCAAGTGCGAAATTCTCCTTCATCTGAAACAACGGCATAGTAGCCCACTTCGCGAATCCTGACCAAGCCTTGTAGATGGTCCTGCATACCACGAAAGCCATATACGAAAGAGCGACCATGTTGGCGTCAATGCAATGGGCATTTCGCTTCCCTGAGTAGTAGGATGGCTGCATGGCGGTACGTGCAAGTTGTAGCTCAGGATCGATGTTCAAAGACTGGCCGGCGATGAGGACGGGACGGCGTTCCTGTGCAACTGCATCTGGTACTGCGTCATCAAAGTCCTCGCCTGGCTCTGTGTCCATTTCTTCATCAGGTTCCTGTTCTGGATCGTCCTCCGCGATGACAGATGGTTCTGGGATTTCCTCAGGTTCCGCAACGGTCTCTACCTCCATGGCTTCCTGCTCCTCTTCGGGCGCCTCAGGCACTGCTGCTGCCGCGGCTTCCATTGTCTGAGCAATGAAGTCACTGGGGATCTCCGTAGGAGTCTCCCGTTGTGGAGAACCTTGGTAATATCCGCTAGAAACGAACTGTGACCAGCAAGACGTGCATCGGGAGAAGCATGCCGGAACGATGTTGTAGCATGCCGGGCACACCCTCATTCTCCTTCCATCCTCGTCTCTGCGTAGGTCTTCGGGTCGCCAATTCTTGATGACAAACTTGACCCCTTTGTCCATGTAGTGATGCCGAACCGTGTTCTCCCTGTGGGACTCCAGGACAGTCGTAAGGTCTCGAATGATCTGCTCCTTGCTGGTGTCGTGGGGTCCAGGAGGCATCTCGCAAAGCAATTCCATTATCTTGCTTGGCGTTCGGTATCTCTCGAACTCAGGGAGCAATGGTGATGCATTGTAGTCCAACACCAGCTCTTTCTCCAACCGTTCATCGTAGATCTTTTCCACCAGAGCGAAAGAGTGTGTATCTTGAGGATCCGGGACGCAAAACCATACCTCCTTGACCAACTGGAATGGTATCGTTCGGCCAACGATCATGATGCCGCTGTCTGTGATACGTCCATCTTCTCGTGCAAGGTCCTGCGATGGGACATGAAGGACCGCCAGTGGCATGTGCTTGGCATCTCGTCCATGTACCCGCATCTTGGTCGTCGCATTCCGGTGATCGAACGGTGCAAACACCCCCCAATAGCTGTGGAGTCTGCCGCCTTGGTTGCCTCGAAATTGGCGCCTATGGTCGAAGTCCCCGTCGGGGTCCTCCGAACCAGGCATGATGCCTTGCGTGACAATGGAATCCAAGTTGCGGCATGCCGTAGCGTGGAACGCGCCTCCAAGACGTTGCAAGAGGGTCATAGATGGAGATATTGCGAACCTGTTCTTGTCCAACTGAAGCAAATTGTTCTGGGGATCTGAGTGCGCAGAGTGACCACTTGTAGCCCGAACTGCCCATGGCTTCACCCAGCCGTTGCAAACGTTCAGGTACCTCTGGCTGTGCCGGCAAC